CACGTCTCTCAAGACGGCTAAACCCGAATGATTCTAGTTCTAGGTCTTGTGTTAGTTCTAGTGATAGTGCTAGTGTAAAAGTAGAACTAACACTAGACCGAGAACTAGAAATATTCTGGTTTAGCTGCACGTCTCTCAAGGCGGCTAAACCCGAATGATTCTAGTTCTAGGTCTTGTGTTAGTTCTAATAATAGTGTAAAACTGGAACTAACACTAGACCTACAACTAGAATCATTCGGGTTTAGCCGCACGTCTCTCAAGACGGCTAAACCCGAATGATTCTAGTTCTAAGTCTTGTGTTAGTTATAGTGATAGTGCAAGTGTAAAACTAGAACTAACACTAGACCTACAACCAAAAATATTCGCGTTTAGCCGTGCGTCTTTTAAGAGGGAATCTCAGAGTTATCATAAAAACGTCACCTTTTCCAAGCAAAACTTTTACTTTGCAAAACTACCCAATGCCTGTACTATTATTTTTGTTACTGCATTCATATATTGCGACTTGTATGAAATTCTCAGTATATAATATATATAGCTGCCGATATTATACAATTTCAAGGTCATTCTTAAAGAATCTTATTAAAATTGTATTAATTTACTTATATTTTAGTGTATTTGTATGTAGTATTTAGTAAATGAGTAGATTTAAAAAAAAAGATTTAAAAAATCATTAAAAGGTGTTGTAAAAATAGTGTTTGAGTTGAAGAACGAGTTGGTATTCGAAAGTTATTAACTCGGGTTACACCGTTTTGTGTACAAAAGAAGTGTGAATTGTATATCGTTTTAAGATACCTGTAATGCGAGACCGACGTATTTCCACAGCGTTCGGTCTTGTTTACATACAAAAGTCGGGCTAAATCCAAAAACAAATACACAAGCGCGATCGCGCCGGTCCCGACGGCTTCTGGGCCTCTTTAACAACAGTTATGGTTAAGATATTTTTATACCGGACATGTCAAGACGCGATTCCACCGTGCGTTCCCTTTCGGATCGTCGAACACGCGATCCCTACAGCTCGCTGCAATAATTATAATAATTAGGCGTCGTTATCAACTGAACCACCTGACGGGGCCGCAACTATTTCTCATGATAAGTTTATCGTACCACTTGTAACATTGCCTACCTCTTCAGATACACAGATATATTGATAAACTTACCTATCTCGCTAAATACACAAACACTTTCCGACCTGTCTTCTATCAAAATTTCTATTAAAATTCATATCGAGATAAAAATATTTTTTTTATATATACAAAGTGTTCTAAAACATTGTATATTGCAGCGCCTCGGCTACAACTGACCTTGGATAAGCTATATAAAGGTTATAAAAACATTTTAAGCACTTACTAATTTAGATTAATAATTCTAGTTATTAAATTAATTATAGAATAATGACTTGATAAAAAAATTCCGATTTATTAATAATTATTGAAAAATTCAATAATTATCCATGGCAATTAAAAAATCAATTGAACGAGGGTTTAAATAAATCAATAAGAAACAATTAAACTCATTTTCACTAATAATACGTTATGGAATTATTACTTATTCATTATTAATACGATTTTTTATTAGTTTGAATAATTGTTTTGAGTGGAAATGTTTGAAGCGATCTCAAAAATGCTAATTCCAAACAGATTGACTAATCATTGTGACTCAAAAACATTTCTAAAGAGAGATTAAAGCACGTTCGAATCGTTTAATTTTGCTTAATACTATTGATTTAATTTCCTACTTTTGTTACAATATCCGTATGTTTGGGCGACTTTCTCATTCCACCATGCGAAACGAGATTATTATCGAATGAATTTAAAGTTAATGTTGAAGAATTTCACTGTAAATTAAGATTTTTTAAATTTGTTAGTTTGGTGTAATAAAAAAAGCCACAGAGCTATATAACGGGAGAAATTTTCTTGGTAACAAAGATATATAACGACATTATTGATCATAAAGTAGCGGGTGGCGTAGAGAAAAGCGCAGGCGGTGAGTGTATATACATATTTCGCCAGTAATTCAGTAACCGGTGCCGTTACCCGGGTTACTACTAATTGGAAGATTTTCACGTTGTTATTCGAGATGTACGGTAATGTCATATTTTAGGCGCCCTTCCACCGCTTTTAGCGAGCTTCGTTGCGCTTAATTACGTTGGGTTCGCCCTGCGTTTTCCAATAACGAACATATCTACGAGTAATTTTTTTAAATATAACTCTGATACTATTGTGAAAGTAGAAAAATCTAAATCTATTAATTGAATATGTCTAAAAGCGGTTCTTATTTTTGCTGTATCATGGAAAGGTCCGGAGAAGAACGGGATTCTACTAATCAAGGAGATGACTGTACGAAACCTTTTATGAAATGTTGTCACTGGCACATTTAACGCCTTTTCAGGTGTCTAAGAGCCGGCCTGTCGTTCTCGCTGTCAGATTACTAAAATTAATATTGGCCTTCGACAAAATGTTCATTTACTGCCGTTAGAAACGTCAAAGTCGGTTCGTTAAATCCACAAATTACAAGGTAGCAACCGACTGTCGATCTTCTTGACTCTCCACTCAAGAGAATCATCCCGCGTTATATTTAGTTGTAAACAACTTGGATATTATTTCTAAGAAAGTTTGATTACGATGATGACGATATTTTGTTACCTTGCAAAAACGTAATATATAAACAGAACAATTTGACAAAAAAAATAGCGCGCTCCGGAAAAATTGGCACTTCGAACGAAAACAAAAATAAACCGGGCCAGAAATAAATTTACTACAGCATCGATGGATCGATATTCTACATCTATAACAGCGCTCTAGCCTTTAACACAAATACACGACGAATTCGTTTTTCTCTGAGTAATAAACACAATAAATTATGATTCAACCCGACGACCTAATACCAACCGCAAATAAGATCAAATTTATCACCCTCTTCTATATAAAATGTGTGAATAATAAATTCCCAAATTTATTCATAATTAAATCGAAATCATTTTTATAACGTACATAAAGGATGATTATACAAAATTTACCCCCTCAAAACAAGATCAAGGCTGACGCGATCAATAAATCGATCTTTTAATTATGTTCTTTTGTTAAAGTGTCTCTTGACAGTCGATTAGCCATCACGTACGTGTAGTATACCAAAAATTTCGATTTGAAAATGATTAATAAACCCAAGGCGACTCCCGACTACGATGGGTTGCTTTCATATTTATAGCCTATCAAAGGGAAGACGACGCGAAATAAAGAATTCCATTAGTGTAAGGGAGAGGGGCACGGCCGGAAGTGCTCTTGCGTGAGGCGTATTGTGACAACTGGTAATTTCCTATCGAGAATGCCACGTTCTTATGCGTCGCCTTACAAGCTTTACCAAGCACGCGACATTTACACCAACAATTCTCATTTCTTACCGTGCAAATTGTGGGTGCTTGAAAATTTCTTCCCGTCGGCTCATTATCACCTTTATCTTCTATTATCGCTGGACCTCTCGGCGGTATCGTTGGTAATCGAACTGAAGTTGTACGAGTCAATTGAGATTGACCGGAATCACTACTCGCCATCGTCGTTAAAAGGGAACATTCTGGACGTAAAAACCAAGATGCCACTGATGCCCACTGAAACAAAAATTATTTTTATTTTAATAAAAGTAATTAGAAAAACACTGTAAAACCTCGGCCGCTTAGCTAATCTTAAAACGGAGAATGTAGAATTTTTTAATATAGGTATCAATATTAAATAGGACAGCACACATGGCAATGAGCACATATGCAACGCCAACTCTAGCAATGGATGTTCTATTTGCCCTATCTCCTTTGCATTTGCATATAGAGAAAGTGGCTAGAACTACCATTTACAAATTTAAGCAATATGCTCAAAACTGTTCCGACATGTTCTACCAATGGGCTACGGAAGACATTATAAGCACTGATACTGTGCTATCAATGGGATCACTATCAGTGACTAATGCTCTATATATCGATTTTGTATGCTCTATTGATATTTGCATGTTCACAGATGGATGCTTATAGCCTGGGTACGTACTGTACTGTATTCCAGGCGCAAGTATTTGATATTGACATGGGTGCTAAAATCCTTCTTGAGAGAGGGGTGAAGAACATGACAGTACGATTTAGTAGTTAATGACTGTAAGAGAACATTAAACACACTGAGTTGTGATAACAGAGTTTCTCTGATCTGGGTTCCAAGTCACTCAAGTATCAAGGCAATGAAGCTAGCATGAGAGGGCAGCGCTAAAGCATTTGTGGGGCCAGAACCAGCAGTTGGTGTATCATTTGCGATGGCCAAACATAGGATTGGACTGTGGGCTGACGAGAGACTTCGTCTATTGTGGATCAGTTCTCCTTTAATTGACTCAAAACTTGATCAACACATTGTAGAGGCCACAAAAGGATCTTGGCTAATATCAGAAGGATTTTGCCGAATTGATATTCATTCCCATAAATCTTATTATTTGATAAAATTAGTGTGTTTTGTAATGGTAATTTGTTTTACAACATTATTTAAAGGAGTGAATATGGTGGGGATTTAAATTTTCCGTGATAGTTGGTAATTCCGCGATAATTACCATTTGTTTTTGTCGTACGTTCCATCATGTAGATAGAGATCTTTCGACGTTAGGTAACCGTGACGATGCCTCCTACTACGTAACGATCAAACAGGGTGTAATTTGGTGGTGCGCCCCCTTCGCTGCATTACCGTTGATACGTAATAGCTGTAGCGTATGAACAGCTTATAACTTATTAATGCGGTTCCGTGTAATTTTGATGAGTTCCCGCGTCGTGTTTGGGATTGTGCGTTTAATAGGCTTAAGAGATCACGTGATTATCGGCGGGACAAATCCAGAATTGCTTTAATTTTATGCGAACTCGTCGACGCGATCAGAAAAATAAACGTGGCCCTAACATATAAGTATGCTAATGTATTCACGTTATTAGCGTAAAAACTGGTGGCCGACGGTAATAAATAAAATCATCGACTAACCGCCAACGTGTAAATTCGTTACTGATCCAAACAAATAAGCATTTAGTTAATGGGAGTAGATAAGCATCGAAAAAAAGGGTGCATTAATATCGAAGGTGGAGCTTTCCAAGCTTTTTTATGCTTGTAGATCCGACCCTGATAAGAGGTTAACGATAAAACGACAAATTTATGTCACGTTTCACGGCTTGTCGGCGGAACTGATCTATCTATCGCCGCTTTATTTTGACGTCAACGGCAAAAAACAGGTGTCCACGATTATCCACCTAATCTGGCGGAAAAGCTCGTCGAGGGACCCACGCCGTTTTATTTTTACGCCTCTCCCGGGACTGTCGCTAACATAATTTTTGATAAGGTGTGGACCGGTTCCATTAGGATGAGTTTAAAAATACGACACCCCGTATTCCTTTTGCTCGAGCATATGGCTCAAGTACCGCAGCCGAACGACTTTATTTATAATCCAAAAACACCGCATCGTCTACTTGTGTCGATAACAAGTTAATATTGGTCGCTTTATCTGGAGATGCGGGGGTATTTTTGGTCCACCGACACAACCCATCACCGGACGCTGCACCTCAAAATTATTTACAGACAGATTGTTATTCATCAACATTTTTTTTTAAAGTACTTCATAAATCACTTCAAATAACTACAACCATATTTATAATTATATATATATACATATATTTCTTTAATTATTAATAATTGTAACTATGTCCATCCGACTTAACTCGAAGCAAAATAGATGCCGAAAAGTTGGATATTTTAAAGATTTCTTGAAATTGGCAGATTTCTAAGAATTTTGTATGATTTTTAAAAAATTGTCAAGAATTTCCAGAAAATGTTCATGGAATTTTAAAGGATTACCAAGGTTGTCAGGAGAATTTACAGAAAATTTTGAATACTACTTGAGGTCTTCGGAGATTTTCATAGATTTCTAAGTATTTTCCAAGAATTTATAGAAGAGTGCCAAAATTTTTTTGATATTTTAAAGAATGCTAAAGATTTCCAAAGAATTTACGAGGATTTTCAAAGATTTCTAAAAATTAGCTAAGATTTGTAAGAATTTCTCATGATTTTTAATTGTCAAGAATTTCCAGAAAATTTTCATAGAATTTTAGAGAAGCCAATCGCAATCGTTGGGTCGCGAAGGCTCGAAAAATGGGTCGCATAAATATCTATTATCATCATAAGTGTTATATTTAATAATAGATATCACTTTTTATGGGTCACATTAAAATTTTATTAATATTTCTGGATCGCTACTTAAAAAAGTTTGAGGAACGCAGTTTTAGAGGATTACCAAGGTTGTCAGGAGAATTTACAGAAAATTTTGAATACTATTTGAGGTCTACGGAGATTTTTATAGATTTTCAAGTATTTTCAACGAATTGTAGATAATTTCCTGAGGATTATCAACGATTTCTAAGAATTTATAGAAGAGTGTCAAAATTTTTTTGATATTTTAAAGAATGCTAAAGATATCCAAAGAATTTACGAAGATTTTCAAAAATTTCTAAAAATTGGCTATGATTTGTAAGAATTTCTCGTGATTTTTAATTGTCAAGAATTTCCAGAAAATTTCCATGGAATTTTAGAGGATTACCAAGGTTGTCAGGAGAATTTACAGAAAATTTTGAATACTATTTGAGGTCTATGGAGATTTTTATAGATTTTCAAGTATTTTCAACGAATTGTAGATAATTTCCAGAGGATTATCAACGATCTCCAAGAATTTATAGAAGAGTGCCAAAAATTTGTTGATATTTTAAAGAATGCTAAAGATTTCCAAAGAATTTACGAAAATTTTCAAAGATTTCTAAAAATTTGCTAAAATTTGTAAGAATTTCTCATGATTTTTAACAGTCAAGAATTTCCAGAAAATTTCCATGGAATTTTAGAGGATTACCAAGGTTGTCAGGAGAATTTACAGAAAATTTTGAATACTATTTGAAGTCTACGGAGATTTTCATAGAAAATTTAAATTTTTGGATCAAATTTTCTGTGAACCTGACATACATTGGATATTTGCTAACATTGATATTTATTGTAAGAAAATATTTATAAGTAAGTAATTATGTATTACATATTAGGATAGTCCTGATGATAATGCGGAAGCGTTGAAACCGGTATAAAAAGTTAATTAAAGATTATGTATGAAAAGAATGAAAAAGTGTGTGTGAAAAATGTAGTGGGTCGTCTTTAAAAGTGATTCTTTTTGTAGTAAACGATATTTCGTTTTTAGAGAGAGCTTTTAGCGCGGTTCCGACGCCGCATACAAACAAATAGTGGCTCTCAAGTAGATTGGATTCTCGACTTTGCATTTATTCCCCCGGCCACCCCCTATACGGGGGAGATGACCATCGAGTCGGGCATCCTCTTTCCGAGCGTGGTTTATACGTTATGGGCGGGAAACCGTTAAACTCCGTATTACCAGGTCTCGCCGGCGGCGATTATTCCATGAAAAACTCTCTCGTCAAATTTCGGCCTCGAAGTTGCTTCGCATGTTTAAATATTAGAAGCGAATCCCCTCAGGGATGTTTTGTTGTGATACGGGGCTCCCTAGACGAGAATTTTAACCTGCCAGAGTGGAGAAAACAATAACGCGGGATTCAGTTTTGCGATTTCATCGATCGCCAGAAAACCATCCGCGGGACTAATTTTATAAAAAGGGTAGATTGACAAGCAAACGCGTGTTGCCAGAAAACCCTTGTCAAATATCCATCCAAGGAACCTCCCCCTATCTAAAAATAAATACGCCACTTAAACCACCATCCCATCCGCATATGACGATAAACGCCCTCATTTTTTAAGTTATCATTATTATACGATTAAACATTTTTGATGGATTTGATATCTACATAATTGATATACGTAGTAAAATGTTTAAATTAAGTTTAAAATGAGATCGACCCGGTTGAATTTCTCGACCCCGAACCGAAGCATCCTCCAATAATACCTCAAAGGGGTGGCCAAATATCAATTAGGGGGCCCGTAGGGTTTTAGGTAAGAAGCGTATGCCATCAGTCCTCTGGCAGTTGTTTAACGCAATTATCGATCAAATATGGCGGAGATCCCACCCCATGGCCCCTATTAACCCTTTCGCGTCGAGGGGCTTCATAATAACGCTCCTGCCCTCCCAGTATTAGAATCAACATCGGGGCCATTATACTTTCGCCGGCGAAAAATCCGCCACGAAGAAAGCGCCGACCTAATAAGGACCATTATTCTCGCTTTTGTGATTCTGCCATTTATCTCCTTAATTTGAACCGTTACTCGACTAATTCGAGGACGCGAACCCCGTTATTTCCATGTTACAGCAGCTGTCATTTTTTTGCCGGACTTTGTCAATATAATAATAATAAATAATATTTTTTTTTATGAGAAGAAAGTAAGGGAAGGAAGAAGTATTGTCGATTCGCGTGAGTGTTAAATTGCTATTAGATAATTGGGCGCGTCTTTTTCGCCACTCGTCTCGTAATTAAATTCCATAAGAAAATCGTTTTCGGTCCGCCCGGCTATTATTAATTTATTACGTCCAATTAGGCTTCGGCTTTCGCGTGTTGCTCGAAATTTTATTCGTGATTAATTCGCTGTCGACGGGGGCTCAGATGGCTATCTGATTCGGTCCCGCTCGAAAGATGTTTAGAAGGAAAATGGTGCGATTTAAAGGGGGGCGAGGAGGCCTTGATGGAACAGCCAGCCAGGTGCAGGGGAACAGGGCAAGGCCACATTGTATATCTAATAAGTACAGTCCGGTTAATAAATAATTCCTCCGGGAGAGGCCTTTATACCTGCCGTAATATATGGTTATTTGATTTGGTGCTGTTATAGATATACCCCAGTGTTTTGACCGACAATGAGTTACGGATTGTGCTCCAACGGGACCGCGTTATGTATTCGTCTAATATTTCATTTTTAACGAACTCTTCGTTGCCTCCAACTCGAACGGGCAAAAAAGATGAGATCTCCGGGCAAATATTGATGTTGTTACTCGTCGTCTTAATTCGTCCTCGCGCCGAGGACCTGTTTAGCATAGGGCGTGCACCGAGAGTTATTCAAATATCGCATCATCAGTGGCGGCTATTGTTGCCGACGAGTGCTACCTTTAAATTTGTTTTAACTCGAGGACACGTAGGCGACGCAAAGCGACGACGCCTTCAATTCTTCTATTTATAAACTCGAATCCCGTTTAAAAGCGATCCTCCCCGAACCATAAATATACATATGTCAAAATTTTAAATTAAAAAATCTAAACTTTCTCAAGGTTACACAAATCTTTAATAACAATCTTCAAAAATTATAATTAATTACTAAAATAATAACCAACACTCTTCGACACGTGCCAATTCTTTATTTATATAAAATACGTGTCGTTAATAAGTAATTGATTAATGGAGAAAATGGGCCGACAATGCCGGAGGCGAATTGATTACCGAACGGAACGAATTGTGCAAACAGAAACATTCTGCCGGAAAAGAGCATATAATTCCATTGTGGTGGCAAACGCGAGTGGAGAACACATGACGCCCGGCTAATTGTGACCGGCTCACGCCATCCAACAAATGGTAAGTAAGACCTAAGAGGAAACGCCGATTTGTTAAACCGCAGCGAACGATTTTTATATACGACGACCCCAGGGCTAACACATGCTTCCACACCAATTAGTATTAAAATGTTTCGTGACAAATTAGAAAGGACCTATACGACAGAAGGTTCGATATGTTGACAGCTCAACGGCTCCAATTTTTACCTAAATGTATTATCCTTTAAAAACTACCAAAAAAAAACATATATACCATCTAGAATCACGTCACTTTATTATAAATGTTCGTTTAGACATTATTGTATTAACTGGCATGTTCAAATTACGATGAAAGGAGCCACTTTTAAAAAAATTGGTAACTTAGATCTTCATCAAGTCTTATCATCTTAAACAGTTGATGACAGACTTTTTTGCAAAACTTTGATTTTTTGGTTTAAACTTAATCCAAAGCAAATATACGAGAGTTAACGAATTTTATGTTGCTACTTTGCTTTTGTTGCTGCTTTACTATAGTTGCAAAAATCTGGAAAAGATACAATAGAGGCACACTTTTTCACCAATTTCGTATGGAATCACGTCACTTTATTATAAATGTTCGTTTAGACATTATTGTATTAACTGGTATGTTCAAATTACAATGAAAGATAGAGAAATAATTAAGATTTTGGAACCACATTAAAAAAAATTGGTGACTTGGATCAAGTCTTATCATCTTAAAGAGTTGATGACAGACTTTTTTGCAAAACTTTGATTTTTTGGTTTAAACTTAATCCACAGCAAATATACGAGTTCATAGAATGTAGGATGTGGCTGTAATTGTGTTTGATATACACGTTTAATAATAGCACAGTAAGTTGCTAATCGATGATCACATCATATTATGTTGCTACTCGATATCGCACAGATTAACTCATCTGCCATCTACAAAAGAAATTCGACAAATGACAACTTTTCCGATATGAGACATAGAAAAGTCCATGCGATGCGGCTTTGGATGTGTGATAATACTTTGTTTATCTTCTTCCAGATTAAGTAAAAGAACCAACATAATATCAGAAAATAAAATTTTTTCAGGTATTTTGAAGAGTAGCAGAAATCTGGAAAAGATACGATAGAGGCACACTTTGGCACCAATTTCGTATGGAATCACGTCACTTTATTATAAATGTTCGTTTAGACATTATTGTATTAACTGGCATGTTCAAATTACCATGAAAGATAGAGAAATAATTAAGATGTTGGAACCACATTAAAAAAAATTGGTGACTTGGATCAAGTCTTATCATCTTAAAAAAGTGATGACAGACTTTTTTGTAAATCTATGATTTTTTAGTTTAAACTTAATCCACAGCAAATGTACGAGTTGATAGAATGTAGGATGTGGCTGTAATTGTGTTTGATATACACGTTTAATAATAGCACAGTAAGTTGCTAATCGATGATCACATCATTTTATGTTGCTACTCGATATCGCACAGATTAACTCATCTGCCAGCTACAAAAGAAATTCGACAAATGACAACTTTATTGGCATGTTCAAATTACGATGAAAGATAGAGAAATAATTAAGATCTTGGAACAACATTAAAAAAAATTAGTGACTTGGATCAAGTCTTATCATCTTAAAGAGACTTTTACGCAAACCTTAGATTTTGGTTTAAACTTAATCCACAGCAAATGTACGAGTTCATAGAATGTAGGATGTGGCTGTAATTGTGTTTGATATACACGTTTAATAATAACACAGTAAGTTGTTAATCGATGATCACCTCATATTATGTTGCTACTCGATATCGCACAGATTAACTCATCAGCCATCTACAAAAGAAATTCGACAAATGACAATATGAGACCAATAAAATCACAGAGAAAAGTCATTTGGAAGACTAAATCGTGGCACGTTTTAGCACCAATTTCGTATGGAAACAGAAACTATTTGTAGAAATTGTCGTAAATTTAATTGTCAAAGTAATTAATAGGGGAATTGTTTAATTCGAGCAAACTGGCAATGTTAGGATTTAGCTACACATTTTCGAAATACCATTGGTGTTGTCTAAATCTATAAAAGTGTCACGATAAATCTTAATAATTCTTGGTACGTCCAAATTGCCATCAGTATGTAGATTTTTATTATTTAGACAATTTGGAGTAATTTTACATCTTGATTCATGCTTCAGATTTCCATTAAATAATCTGTTATTGATCTAAAGCTGTGTTCGGATTGTTTGGTATTGGAGTTATCCCAAAATCGTTATTTTCATTGGTCAAATGACTCAGCAGAAATGTTATAATCCCACAAAAACACTAACTTTGAAATTTTCAATACCACGTAAATCGGTTTGGATTTGGACTTCGTTGGACCGGCTAAAACTGGAATTGAAATGTTTTGGAAATATCTAAACATTTCATAGAATTCAGAATTCAAATTTGTACAAATAAATAAAGATAATTAAATAAAAGCAAAAATTATCAAATGTTTTATTAATATATGGAGATTTTTTGAAATAGTATCTGCATATATATTATTAATAAAATTCGAGTATTGATAACCCGAACTATCGAAAATGAAAGAGTTATCTTTAATGACCTACAGATGTTTGAAGGTATATTTAGCACTAAATCAGTGGTTTTTGCCAAAAATGTAAAAAATAAAGTAAAACCACGTGCTTTTTCTTTGATATAAAACTGAGCCTGCGCAGTGAATGTTAGTGGTAGGAAAGTAGCGCTTATGTCGGCCATTGATAAGGGTGAAAACTTACGTTAAGAATACGATTGTTGGCGGAGGGTGGTTGGGATTGAGGTATAGTGACCTGATGTTGTAGCGGTTTAACGGGGCTGCGCCCGGCGGAGCCGTTTTCGCTGGCGTTTGGCATCAGTAGCATTGGTAAAAATGGTTTGTCACGCACTGAGGGGGCTATCACAACTCACTGCACGCCGCGGAAACGCGACGGTTCACGTTTATTGGCGGTTTTGCGAGGTGCACTTGAGAAACTCGCGGAGAAGAGCCCCGCGGCCTCTTCCTTTACACGCTGGTTTCGGAGGACTCCGTATATGAACTGCGGGCTTCAGGTTTGGCCATCGTATCGCGCGCCTGTGCATGGTCTGATAGGGACCGACCAATTGCTAACCCCCCTCCAATTGTTTAATACCTCGCGGTGCGGCGTGAAGCGAGCGGTAAAAAAAAGTTTACGAAGAGGCCCTATAATCGAATTGCGAAAATCACTTACCGTGGCACTATTTTTCAGTTGCGGGTCCATCAACGGCATCGCCGACACCGGCATATCGGACGAGGTTCTGTCTTTCTGTTGGCTCGACGTGATAGGACCTCGAACCACCTCCGAACCTTCAAAACCAAACAAGTACTAACACCTTTATCGATATATTTATTATCAAATTATTTCGGTTCAAAATTCCATAATAACATAGACTTAAATAGAGTTACTAGTAAAAGAAAAGGAATGTAAAAGGTAAAATTGGGAAACAAGAAAAAATTTGTCTGGCTTGAATTAAAATTTATCATAACTATGTCTATTTCGTTTTGATTTATGAAGGTAATAAATCTTAAAACTATAAATTTTAACAATGAAATATTTTAACGTGTTAAAAAATAATATATAACAAAGTTTATTACAATTTGAATTTTATTAATATTAATAAATTAATTAATTAATGTTAGAATAGTTTTAATTTTTTTATTGATTCCATCAAATACATGTTTTGACTAGATATACGACATGACCCTAATTGGCTGTGATTAATGTAAGGTCAAGTCCTTTAAACAAATTTATTTTAATTTAATAATTGTATACATGTAAATAATAGTAAAATAAAGAGACTGTGATTTTACACAGGTCATATTCTGCGAACTCAATATATATTTAAAGATGATTGTAAATAGGATATTGTTAAAATTAGTTTATCTCGATTGTTTTAAATGTAAATTTACATAATTTATAGACTAGATTGTTTTGAAAACGTGTTGTTTAAATTTTGAAGTGATAGCGATTGAAAGGTTCAAGAAGAGCAGACACGGGGAGGGGGGATAAAATAATGTAATTACTGTTGTAACAACATTTGGAGAGCGGGATTAAAAAAGCGTGATACGGTTCACTATCGTCCAGCGGGAGATTGATTTATAACGGTAAACAAGCGATAATCGGCAAGGTTCATTAAATAACGATGCGATATTGGCAACTATACGATATTTCAATCGGTTTGGAGCTCTGGTCGTAGGCAAAAGCGTTAAAATTCACGAACGAACTCACCATTCTTGACGGGTAGTGTGGGAAAGGTGTTATCAAAGGTCGAAAACTGCATGGCTCGGGCTCGGGTTCGGGCTCATCAGGTATAGCGCGACCAAAATCGTGCGAATGTCAGTCGGACACTGAGGGGTCAAAGGTCGCCAGGGAGAGCCGGGCGTGTCACAGCCGTCGCGACGGCCTATGGTCCCGGACGTCGGGCGCACGCGCAGCAAGGCGACATGAGACAGTCGCCGCCGCAGTGACAATTCCGCGAAGCCCCGCCCTTGCGCTATCCAAATGCGCTGACCCCCCCGCAACGCTCCTGAGTAGCCCTCTCTTTTTAGCCCCCTCTCCGTAACCCCCTTCTCGTCGTAGTTCTCTCAAACCACGACGACGCCGACGACGGCGACGGCGACGACGTCGACGTCCCGACGTACCGTTTCGACGTTACGCGACGCCGCTCGCGGTTGTTGGAATAGAGAGTAAATAGGGTAAGATTTTGTCCTCCGTTATCGATTTGAGCGTCCGGAAGCTAATACGAATACAGTGCCGGATCGATGGGTCGTCACCGGAACGATTATTCTGGGATTCCCGTGGAGTCCCCACCAGGTGTCAGACCGGAGTGGGTGATAGGCGTACCTTCGTGTGACAAAGAGTGACCGCCCCGCGCAAGCGCACCGTGTCGTGTGACATCCCCTCCACGTGGTGACATCGTGACAGGCGTAACCACCTGTACTATTGGTCCACGTGCCACCCAATACTGTCACTTTGCCAACGCTAATCTCGCGTCTTTTTGTTAAAATTTGCCCGCCGTCCTTCTCTGAATCGTTTCCCACGGCCCCCGGACATCCCCCCTCCCCCAGGACGCGGTCTCCGACGCCCGCCACTTTTAACCCGTCGTCGGGGCTACCCCGACGTCTTCCGCCTTCTTTCACGGGTCGTCAATATCGTTCGCGGCTGCCACCGAAAGCTCAACTAACCACTTCTAGCGGCCTCCGCGCGGAGGCGGCTACAGCCGATCGAACTTTGACCTTACAGAGGTTCTCAAACAATAACAACGCACAATTAATTTTCTAAAAAAAATTAAATTGTTGGTATAAATACGTAGTTATTATACCAATTTGATTAGCATCTTTGACTCACCTCGTCTGCACGTGTACTATGGATTAAATCGCGTAATCTAATATTAAAACCCCACAAGAGATACTCTTACACTCATGCAAAATTAATTAAAATCTGAATTGTAAAATATACGTTTTGGCCTTTTTTTGTATCTATTATTTATTAAATTAAATAACTTAAAATTTATAGATTTTGTATACGCGAATATAATACAATAGAAAGATATCAATATAGTCATAACATAGCGATAATTTTTTTTATTTTTTATTATCTATACCCTTCGGTATTATTTACCTGGGGTCGGATGTATTAGGTAACATTATACGTGATATAACCATTGTAACCTCTGACTCATTATTATCATGATATTTCTTAGTATTTAATCAAATAATAATTTTTTTTATAAATATGTGTATCGTTTATATAATTGAATACCTCTAAATACAATATAAATATTGGTTGTATAAATCGTGTGTATTTTGGGTATTTGTAGGGGTTAATTGCAAAATCTAAATAATAGGTTGGAAGTATTAATAACAACAATCGTCGGTTGTGCTTTGTACCGGGTAATAACAGGTACTTTGGAGGCCTTTTTGGAGGCTTTTGTGAACGAGAATTGGCGCAAATTTCGGACTGTTAACACATAACAGTGATGGCTTAATGCCGAAATAATACCTTTGAAACCGTTCTTTTCAACATATCCGGCGGGGGCGCGACGATGTAGACTCTTTTTCAGAACGTGTGAAAAACTTGAAAAAAACCAGAAAATAATTGCTATTAATAGCCGTTGTGTATTCGGTAGTAACATCGACGAAATTGAAAGGGAGGGAGTTGTTAAAAGGGGTCGAAATAATTCATTCAATCGTCGCAATCGTAAATATTCACCCCGCGGACGTAATCGACGATTTAAATTGCATTGGCGAGTATTCATCGGTCTCTGTACCTGTTGCAGCAGGAGGATCCCATGTGACGGAGAAGAAGGGTTCAAAAAAATTTTTTTTAACCAGCGTTCAGTTGCACTGTCACAGGATCAAAACTTTAGGGATGTTATACGAAGGGTGCGGGAATTTTAAATATCGCCGTAGCAGAACGCGCGCGTTTTCGAGTCGTCTCGAATCGAGCTCATGCTGATAGAACGGCAGTCGGGCTACCACTGAGTGTAGGGATATTGTCGTACTGTCACAGACCCGTGCGTGCTTTCACTGTCTTTGCGCACGCTGCAACGCCACAGATTACCGGGGATCTCTCGAGGCCTACTCCTCCGATACTTTTACACCCCAATAGTACCTTGTCACAATTTGTCACACCAAAAATACTATTTACACCCTTATACATTTTAAAACACCCTACATTTATATTGAATTACAGTTAATTATAGGAATTTCATTAATTTTAATAAAAAATATCTCATTTGTTTTATTTTATCCTACACAAATTATATAATTTCATCATATATATTGTACTCTACACTATAGCATTAGACACAATTTGTTTCATAACTCATAACCGAAAATATTTGGCAGCAAGCAACCTCGATTGCTTTCAAAACTAGTTGGGGTAAAATTTTATATTTGACATTCTCTCGAAGTACTATGCTTGTCAAAAGTGAAACTTGACTGTTTCGGCATTTAATAGTAGTCTGCTACACTTAATATGCTACACTCATTGAAGACAAAGCGATCGAAACACTTAATTAAAACTGTCCTACTAACTGTTATTTGTTAAATGCTCACAAAAACTGTGGAAAGAATTGTGGCTAAACGGATGTGGACCATATCAATAGATCCAACATCTTTCCTAGTAAGTAGTCTGAATTTTGCCTTGAATTGTTGTCTTGACGACAATGCAAATAATAATGATACATCACATCATAATACACGTAGTATTTGAACAATACAATTAGTACTAAACAACACCAAACAACAGTGGTAAAAGTTCAAACTGCTAATAACTTAATATCTGTAGGAGCAACGTACATACTACCGAGACATAATCTTAAAAAAGAAGATTATCACGAAATTCTATTACATCTTGACAACAAATTTATACTTGGAGGAGACTTTAATGCATAACATAAGTCTTGGGGTTCTCGCTTGACAAATACAAAAGAAACAGAACTGAACCATGCAATAGAGGCCCTAAATTGTGAGCTGCTCTCCATTGGGAAGCCAACTCACTGGCCAACAGATAAAAGTAAAATTCCGAACCTGCTTGATTTTTTTATTACGAAAAATAGTTCCACAAGCTTTCGACAAAGTCTGGATAGATGGTTTAAATTACAAACTAGACCAAATACTACCATCAACGTATAGTCAGCTATTAAAATCGTATCTTTCTGATATTTTAGAGTAAAATACGAAAACGCTTATTCACCACTATATGAAATATGAGCCGGAGATCCCCAAGGAAGTGTGCTTGGCCCAACACTGTACTTACTCTACACATTCGACCTTCCTCAGGTACCAGAAACTTTAACAGCTACACTCGCAGATGACACAGCGATCTTTGGCTATTGCAGAAAATGAAGTAATTGCAGCAAATAAATTACAATTGGCCTTAAATTCAATAGAAAACTGGACCAAACGATGGCTAATAAAACTAAATACAAATAAATCGATATACATAAATGGCAATGCAATCCGTAAAATATCTTGGTATGAGGCCGGATGCCAAACTCAAACAGAAAGCTCACGTCAAAAAGAAACGTGAGAAACTTGATATCAAATTTA